CAAGCTCCATGCTGAGTCCATGCGATGCAACCTAGGATATAAAATGTCACAAAACAGCAATGTCACAGCTAACAACCTAAGTAAAAGCAGAAGCAACTAACTAACATATATGTCATAGGAAAGCAAAAGCAACTAACTAGCATACATGTCCTAGAAAAGCAGAAAGTAGTGACAACTAGATCCTAGAATGTTGGCGGCACTAGCCTCAGTCTGGTAACAAATGACTAGTGTATAAGTCCTAAGAATAGCAAAAGCAGAACAGCTAAATCCTAGAAATGTCGGAGGCAGTAGCCTCATTCTGAGAGCAACAAAGCAATCAACAAGACAACCATATGTCACATGAGAAGTGTGTCGCAAACCAAAGGGTGGGATGGTCTCTGAGGGTGCCGAATGCAGCCTAGGGGTCGAAAAATTCTAAGGGCATTCACACATAGTGACAGGGGAAAACACATGTCATCAGGCTCAATGAGGGTAGGGAACTTGGAGTGAACAGAACCAATGACCCTAACAGATAGACCATCAGGGCGGGTAATGCTCGACTAAGGGGTGACCGCTATGGAGGGTCGACCATGCAAAGGAACAGGGGAGCCTGGTATACTGGGCGCACCTAGATGAAGCATGCGGGGCAGCCTAACTAGGGCGTGAGGGCCGGCGAAGGGTAGAAAGATGATGGGTAAGGGAATCATGCAAATGACTCCTAAAGTGAGGGAAGTCGGAGCTAGATCCGTAAGATGGGAAGCCAGGGCAACGCAGCGGTCCCGATGCCTATGCGTATACCAAAGGAGAGCCCAACTCAGAGGAACCCAGCTAAAGGGAGACCATCATGCGACACAAGCAGGGTACTGTACAGGATAGATTGGTAAGAGAGTGGCGACGTCTGAAGTAGGCAGAGCTGATCGTGATGAAGTCTATGAAGCTGCCGATGACGTCCACGATGAGAAGTTCAGAATGCCGTCGAGGAAGAACCGCAGTGTCGACGAGCTGGAGTAGCAAAACTGATGTGGATGGAGTACTGAGAAGTCAAAGATGTGGGAAGGTAAGTCATAGTCAATCGTCGTATCGAGCAGGACGACGACGAGTGCGCTGTGGACGCTCAGAAGCATCCGGCTGCTGCTGAAGGTCTGCCTCAGATGGAGCAGGCTCGACTTCAGCGGTCTCCTCAGCCGGAGGAGAAGGAGGAGGGTCAGTGGGCTGAGGAGGAGCTGTGAACCCAGCACGACGAGCACGGTCATAGGCACGCACCAACATGTGAGCGTGCTGCAAGTGCTCGAGGGGCTCCCAGGTAGCCTCCTCATCAGGGTAACCCTTCCAACGTACGAGATACTCGACGTGGGGAGGGTTGTCGTCGGTGACTCGGCGACCAATGATGTCTGAAACGAGGAATTCCTCATGGCCGTCCACCATGAGGGGTGGAGGGCGCTCGTATGGTCATCCAGCGAAACGCTCAGACGGTCTGCGGTAAAGACGCAGTAACGACACGTGGTAGACATCATGCACACGAGCCTGACGTAGGTAGTCGGGCAACTTCACACGAAAGTTGACCGGGCTAGATGCCGTATCAGAACCGACGGCCTGGAGGATGCGTCATGGGCCAAAGAAGCGACGCCGAAACTTGCGAAGCGTGTCCGCTTCGAGCTGTAAGTGGCGGGCGTCGATAAGCACATCATCACCGATTTTGAATGAATGATCCATCCTCGATCGGTTCGCACGTGCTGCCATGCGAGTCTGGGACGTGGCTATGTGCTCATGTGCGGTCTTCATGATCGACGTCATGAGTGTCACCCAATCGTCCAGCGCGGGATAACTCGTGTCGGGGTGCAGCTGGGATGGTCGAAGGAAGTCCGCGGGAACACGAGGGTGATAGCCGAGGTTGCAATAGTAAGGCGACATCCCCGTGGCTGGCGAGACGGCGTGGTTGTAGGCTATCTCCGCGTGGGCAAGATGGAGATCCCACTGCTGGTCGTCACGAACAATCTTTCGGAGAATATCTCCGAGAGTCTTGTTCGTGATCTCGGTCTGACCATCAGTCTGAGGATGGTAAGACGAGGAGAAGCGGAGCTGAGTGCCGTACACCTCGTGGAGCCGTCACCAGAATCGGCTTGTAAAGCGCGGGTCACGGTCAGATATGATGCTCAGAGGTAAGCCGTGACCACGCACGACTCAGTCAAACACGATGTCGACGACCTCACGTGCACTGATGGCATAGCGGCACGGAACAAAGCGTGCACGCTTCGTGAAGTGGTCGACGACGACCAGGATAGCATCATGACCGCGAGGGGTCGGAGGACGAAGAGGACCGATAAAGTCCATCGACATGGACTGCCAACGACCCTCAGGGATAGGAAGAGGCTGGAGCAAACCATAAGGTAGGTGGTTCGCACTGTTCACCTCCTGACAGGTGGGACACTCTGCGACGTAGTCCTTCACAAAGTCCTTGCGCTTCGGCCAGACGTACAGGCGGCTCACACGAGCCAACGTCTTGTGGAAGCCCATATGACCGGCAGCTGCCTGGTCATGGAACTCTGCAACTGCTCGGACACGTAGCTGTCCAGTGGAGAGAACGCAAATACGGGGCTCTCTGGTGCCCTGTGAACCGTGCYAGTACACAAGACCGTTGTCCCCGAAAGAGTAGTTCGGGACGGTCTTGCCACTCTGAAGGGTCGCGTGGATGTCGCGATAGTCGGGGCAATGGCGGTACTGAGTGCGAAACTCATCGGTCACCGAGTGGTGGACGGTGGTGACCGAGATGGAAGAGAGCTTGATGTGCTCCTGGTCGTTGTCAGGGCGCCGGGAGAGGGCATCTGCGACCCGATTAGTCTCACCCTTGATGTGCTCAGTGGTGAAACTAAACTCGGATAGGTCGCGCCACCAGCGAGCCTGTCGAGGAGTGAGCTTCGGCTTTGTCAGAAAAGCCTGGACAACAGAGTTGTCCGTGCGCACCGTGAATGGTGCCCCGTACAGGTAGTGAYGCCARTGCCGAGCGGCATAAACTACTGCGAGAACCTCACGTTCATCAGCAGTGTAGTTTATCTCGGYGGGCAGGAGCTGACGGGAGTAGAAGGCTATCGGACAATCACCTRAGYGAGWCTCGACAGTGTCGTCCTCGGCGATGGTAGGAGAATAGTCAATAGAAGGCTCGTCAGTAGCTGGGCGAGTAGGCGTCAGTCGGGAAGCAGTGGTAGGGGTAGGTGGTGGGAAGCGAGGGATACGAGGATGAGAGGAATCAGGAGAGGAGGGGAAGACCTGAGAAAGCACTGCTCCTACAGCAAAGTCTGACGCATCGGTGGTAAGGATAAAAGGGCGATCAGAATCGGGTAGGTGAAGAACCGGTGCACATGTCACCGCCTTCTTGAGGGCGCAGAAGGCGTCCTCGTGGAGGGGTGTCCAAGCCCAGGGTGGGTTCTTCCGGAGGAGGGTGGAGGTAAGGACATAGGAATACCTAGCGTATCCCCGGATGAAGTTGCTACAGTAGTTGGTCAGGCCTAGGAAGCTGCGAAGCTGCTTGGCGGATGTGGGAGCAGGCCACTCCGCAATAGCAGTGATCTTCGCGTCGTCCATGTGGAGACCCTGGTCTGACACGTAATGTCCTAAGAAGTTCACTTTGTGCTGGGCAAAGCAGCACTTGCTGAGCTTGGCGTAGAAGCCATGTCTGCGCAAGCGGTCAAGGATGTTGCGAAGGTGCCTGAGGTGCTCCTCAAGGGTACGACTGTAGACCAGGATATCGTCGAGGTAAACGAGAACGTATTGCTCCAGGATGTCCCTGAAGATGTCGTTCATCGCCCTCTGGAAGGTGGCGGGTGCGTTGGTGAGGCCGAATGGCATCACCGTAAACTCGTAGTGGCCGAAGCGCGATCGGAACGCGGTCTTCGGCTGGTCGGCTGCAGCGACGCGAATCTGATCGTAACCGCTACGAAGATCAATCTTCGTAAAGAAGCGGTTGCCTTCTAGGCGGTCGAACAACTCATCGGAGCGAGGCATGGGGTAGCTGTTCTTAACTGTGTAGCAGTTGAGACCGCGATAGTCGATGCAGAGACAGAGAGTTCCATCCGCTTTGTGAGCAAAGAGGACGGGTGCAACCCACGGGGAGTTGCTGGGTTTAATGAAACCCAGTCTCAGGAGCTCCTCAAGCTGACGCTTGAGTTCGGTGGCCTCGGGAATCGAGAGTCTATAGGGTGCCTGGTGGTGAACACGATAGTCAGGCACAAGCTGAATGGAGTGCTCGACATCACGCATCGGTGGGATGCCGGCGTACGAGAACGACGATGGGAAAACATCGTGGTACTCTCGGATGAGGTCACGAACTGCGGGCTGAAGGTCAGCCGTATATCGTGCGAGTTCCTCAGGGTCAGTGTTAGCGCCCGACAGCGGGGTGGACTCGACGGACGGCGGAGGGACGGAAGTAGAGATGGGAGTCATGGAGATAGAGGGAGGATCTGGCTCCAGAGGGATGAGCTCGACGTCGGGACAGGGTGGATCATAATGTAAGAGATCCGTCACGTCCACCATAAAGAAGGTGACGTCGTCCCGTCGAATGAAGTGAGCGAACTGCCGAGGCGAGGTGACAGTGATAGAGGGGGGTGGTGTGGGCACTGAAGGCTCCGGGGGAGGAGGATCGGGGCGT